GGACAGAAACTCGTGAACTGCTCCCGAAGGAAGGCGAGACCAGTCGTGGACTGTCAAAGGGTTTCCATACACCCTATGAGTAGTGCATGACGTGTACATACTTTGTGGTTGTAGGGCAGTGACAGTGTCAACACTGAAATTGCCGACTCCTATGATTACAATTCCTGATCATTATTACTGAAAGCCTCTAGGCGTGTATCTCCTCTGTATATTACAGACCGCGAATATTTCTATACTAATTGGTAAAGAAACCAGTTAAAACATTTCACTGAATATCCCCGTTTTCCCAATAAAAAATCTTCACCTTTTACCCGCTTTTCGTTTTTTTCATTCCGAGACCCTAAATATGATTTGGTAGGCCTCGCGGGTGCATGGCGGTGAAGTATCAACGTCAACACTGTTGTGGTTGCTTCCGGCGATGATGTGTTGTGTACGACGACGGATGGAATGCAACGAAAATCAGAATAATAATGGAAAAGACTGAGGGCCCGAAAGTTAGGCTTTATTCATCCAAAACGTTGACACTGAGAGCTGAAAACGGAAGAGTGATTTAGCAATAAACTGTGAAACGTTTGAGAAACAGAGCAAATGTACAACATGATGATGATGATGATGATGATGACATTGTGTCAGTGGTGTCAAGTCGAATTCTCGCCCAGATGCCCAAAATCGAAGTTGTTGAAGAGTACTGCGAGAGCGACACTCTTTATGTTATTGATGTTATTCCGATCGATCCTGGATTTTCATTCCGTTTGTGAAGTTACCAATAAAGTGCACCCAGCCACCAATTAAACCATTTTTTCCTGATTTTCTACTACTAAAGTAGTTTAGAACGGCTACAGAAATGTAGGCGAGTGCGGTTGTGAGTACTTTTACTACAAATATACCGAATTTTTATGGAAGATGTCTGATGAATGTACTTTCGAGTGAGGTCTGGGCGCAATTTGTGCTCAGCCAGAGCATGTGAATTGTTCCTTGTTCTGTGGCCACCAATTTGATGTAGTTGTGGGACTTGAGTGCGCAATAAACTGCTTGGAACGTGGTTCCTCATGGTTCTGTCGTACCAAGGAGTCCAAGGAAGAGCAACCAGACAGATAAATCAGTCCCGTTCTACAAATAACCGTGATACAAGTTGGTTTAGTTGGCCCTTTTGCCACTTAAGTCTTTCATTCGATCCGATCATTTGGAGCCGTGGCCTGTGAGTTCAGTTTCCATCAGTTGATAAAGCAATAAAATGCCTTTCAGTCTTGAAGCGCCATCGGGCTGCTGGACTTGATTAGCTTCCTTCAGTGTTCGTCCAAGAGGAGTAGAACATTTGTGTTCCACGTCGACTAAGTTGCTCGTACTTATATGGCAAAAAGAATGTTCCAGAAGTTAGTGCTGCATAAAAACAGCCTGCGATCAGCACACAGCTGAAACAGTGGTCCACAATTATCCGTGCATACCGGGTCCAATCCATTCCGACTTCCTAATAGGATCTCAGATACAGTAAGCCTGTCCACCTGTGCATTCCTATCTTCGGTAACCACGACGATATATGGTCTTTTATCTTGCCTCAACAGGGTATTCAGGGCGTCGTAAAACCCGTCTGTGACGGCATCGGAGCTACAGTCGGTTGATGATTAAGAAAACACGATAAACAGACATCAATAAACTTTCCGTTTGTGAGGCTTGTACACAGACGTCGCCAGACGAGCCGTACAGAGGTTATCCAGTCAAGCGAGGATACTTCTCCCCGGTGACTTAGGATGATACCAATTTCAGCACATCCCGCGCAGCAGCCTCTAGATAACCATCCGGAAGCTAGTAGAAAATTACGGGGTAGTTAAATCGATCAGTACGCTTGCATCTTGAATCCTTGTTTCTGAGATCAAGAGCAGCTTGTTGTCCTGCCTGCATCGGAGTGCGGACATTGAAGGCAGCCAGGTAGACGGCGTCGAGGCTTAAAGTGTTACGGTTCCGATCACGCAGCGAATAACGATAATGCGCGCGGACTATGACGATATGCTATCCCCAGCCACGTTTTCTGATCCCGACTCCTAGTACAGTGGAATATTAGGAAGGCGAAGCCTTGGACATGAGTGTAATGCTCCGAACAACAAGCGATTACTAGTCAATAGCGGAAAAACGACAAAGCATATGTATATCCATAGGTTGACCTTCAAAATGCCGGAAGTTAGCGCACACAAAGATAGGGTTTCTGGTGATATTGATACCCCCAACACCTCCCCTTGTAAAAAGTCAGTAACAAGTTCGACTTGGGTCGACCTGGATACGTTCCGGCTGGCGTCGTCGTCGGTCTGTCCACTGCCTGGGAAGAAGTGCTGGATCAACCACTGAGCTCCCGGCCACGCTCTCTTCTTTCGAAACTGCATCAGCTTTCAGCTCAAAAGTATCGAGCAATATGTCCAACGGTACGGTACCCGAACATACTGGAGTTTCCGGCGTGCTTCAACGCGGAGTTAATTTTGATGTTTGGTCCAGCTGTCTTGACCAACCAACACGTCGTACATCACACTACTGCGTTTGCGCGGGATACGACCTGTAATCTACGAATCGTGTCTTGGGCGGTAATCACGGACAAATATGGGCGTTCTCACCTTGAATGGAGCTCCACCGGCCACTGGTACTAACCTTGGCTCAGTGGACTATGTTAGCAACATGGAAGAATGCACACTTCTCAGCTTACGGCCCATTAGTGCCTCTGCAGGTGACTGGTGGTTCACCAAAGCATCATTCGGGGTCGTTCGGTACACCAACAGGAATCTCTGAAGGGTTTCGACGGATGTCTCCTCCCCTCAAGCTTTAAGCAGGGCTCTGTTGAATGTGTCAACGAACCTTCATTTTCGACCATTCGATTGAGGGTGGTACGGTGGTGAATGAACTTGTGCTATAGCATGACGAGTGCAAAACTCGTCGAACTCAGCAGAGGTGAACTGCAAATCGTTGTTTGAGACGGTGTGTACTCTGGTAAGCCTTGCTGGCTGAAAATGTTGGATAACACGCAACGTACTAAACGTCGTTGGAGAGGACACCGGAATGATTTCTGGCCACTTGGAAAAAGTGCCAACCAAAACCAAATAGGAATTGCCAAGTATCGGTCCTTCGTAATCAATGTGGACCCGAGACCAAGGGTCCTCAGGTCGAGCCCTGGAAACTGGTGGTTGATGTGGCGACTTGTTGGTATCGGTGCAGAGTTTTACAAAATCAGTCATGTGATGGTCCTATGCGGTCAGTAAACGGAAATGTGAGCTACTGACCTCATGCGGTCCATCCCTGCCCTGAATGGAATTGACGGAGGACTCCATGTCGTAAAGATTGAGGAATTACTACGCGATCTCCAAACATTAAGTAATTGTTTACTACTAACAGTGCTTCTTGGCGAATTCATAGGTGACACGAATAATTAGGGGATGACCCAAACGATCTGCAGCTACAACGTTGCAAACGTTCATACTCATTTCTTTTTCTTGTTATTGTGAAGATTCGTGTAATTTCACTTTAACTGAATGTTGTGAGCTGGCTCGGAAACGAAGCGAACGATACTATAGACGCCTCCTCATGAAGAAAACTACTCACAAGGTTGCTGAAAACTCCGACAACCCACGATGGCTTCGCCCTTCTGGGGGCTCATTAATATAACCGTGAATTGCACATATGATGATGGGACCCATCAGGTAGACGCTGTCCCAGAGTTTCTGTCAAACTTGTGTTCTACTTGCACCTAGATCGGACTGATTTTGACAAACGCTCAGTTGCATATTGATTTCGTTTTGACGGAAGACGCGAGTGAATATTATATATATATATA